GCAACGACGGCGCTGTTGATTCAGCAGGCCGCTTCTGGGCGGGCTTCATGTTCGATCCCATGGTCTCCAAGTGGAGAGAGGACGGTGCTGTTTTCCGTCTCAACCCCGATCTGAGTCTTGATCGACCCATGAGCGATATCACGATTCCGAATGGCACGACATGGAACAAGAACGACGATACCATGTTCTTTGCTGACAGTCCAACGAAAACCATCTTCCAGTTCAATTTCGACCCAAAGACGGGTGAGATCAGTAACAAGCGCCCCTTCTTTACCATGCCGGAGGATAACCGGTATGGCAAGGATGCCGTGCCCGATGGCCACTGCATTGATGAGGAGGGCTACATGTGGACTGCTCTTCATGGTGGATGGCATGTACTACGTATCTCGCCTCAAGGTGAGATCGTTGCCGAGATCAAGGTGCCTACTAGCCAGCCAACATGCCCTTGCTTCGTTGGCGAAGAGCTCTTCATCACTAGCTCCGGTGGTACGAGTGGAGAGAACGGAGGCCCTGTTGACGAGCACGCGGGCAGCTGTTTCAAGATACATGTCGGTGTGCGGGGATTGAAGAGATTCAAGTTCAAGGGCGGAGCGGCTATTGAAGGTGGGAAGGAAGACGGAAAGGTTGTTGGAGAGTGAAGATTGCAGTGATTCGCCGTGCGTGGGCCATTGTGGAGCAAGAACTAGAAATGGCACAATATGACATATAACAAAATAGACATATGCATGCATGCACATTATTCATTACGGTTCAGTTGGCCGCACTGATCAAGCTCAAGGCCAGCCTTGGTCGACAAGATTGCATGTAGTAAGATATCAGAGCCTCTAGTATCGTGAGGAATAAGGTCCCATTGACCAAACGCCGCATATGCAAAACAGGATCTATGCACCTCCACGATAGATATGAAATTTACTAACAAAGACACTGAACACGAGGTACACCCCAGCAGATTTCCCCCCCACTACCGCTTCTCCACAAGCAGCAAATGCATGGCTAGGTACGCAAGCAGCACAAATGCACCACCAAACACACCCAGACCGATACAGTCCTTCCATAGCGCTTGCGTGTTGAAACCAAACGAGCTGAGGATGGCAGAGCCAGGCACCTCGATATCAAGGCCGTACTTGTGATCAATAAGAGAAAGGTATTTGACTTCGTTAACAATGAGGCCCTCAAATGCGTAGTGGAAGATTGACAACTGAATGCTGTTAGTATAGGTGCGTTATCAAAAGGAAGGAAGATCTTCGACTTACCGATTGCAGCCATTTGGCTATGGCAGGAATACTCTCTTTGTTGAGGAAGAAGCCAGAGAAGAGAAGACTGAATAGCATGACTAGCACACCAATCAAGTTGGCCACGCCAGAGTTGCGGAACACAATACCAATGAAGAGGAAGATGGCTGCGGCTGCGAGGTTGAACAAGACGAGGAAAAGCGTGAACTTGAGGAAGTTGGGCCATGCAGGAATGAGGCCAGTCATTGGGTACACGATAATACCGAGGATGATGGGAGGAAGCAGACGGAGAGGAATGATGTCGAAGATGACCTTGGCAGCGAAGTAGGCAGGCGGGGAGTAGTAGCCTTTGGCACGCTCGCGGGTGAAGAGTAGTCGTTCAGGAGCGAATACGGTAAGAATGGTCAAGCTGCTGAAGCCAAAGAGCGACAAGACGAACAGGAACAGACCGAGGCGGTTCTGGAAACCCTTGATATCGTCTGTAAGACCGTAGAAGAGGAAGCCGAGGAAGACTGCTAGGACGATGGCAATAGCGTAGTGAGTAAGCATGAGCATCGGGTTACGGTAGAGATTGCGCCAAGTTCGTCGAGACAAGATCCTGAACTGGCCAAAGAGACCAACTTTCTTGAAACCCTTCAACTTGCCTGCTGCAACGAAGCCGTTCTGCTCGTGCACTCCGTTGGTGCCGTTGGCTTGGTTTGCGCTGGCCACCGAAGTGGCAATGTCTTGACGGATTGTAGCGGCGATGTCGGAAGAAGCGTAAGCATTGATCAAGAGATCGAGATTCGTTCCGGTGGCGCCGTTGGCGGGTGGTGGGAGCTCATCTGGGTCCTCGAGGATCTGGGGAGGTACGCTACCTCCTTGACGTGTGAGCTTCAACCACTGAGCCTTGATAGCGCCTCGGCGATCGTAAGGAGCCTCGTCGTCAGTCTTGGGGGACATTGCACCATCATTAACAGGAGCAGAGCTCTTCTTTCTTGTGAATAGTTCGCGTTCTTGCTGCTGCTTGATGGACGTCCTTCTCTTGCTCTTGGGTCGCAAGATGCTCGAATTGCTAGGGCTACCAGCGATATCTCTTTCGAGCTCCGACGTATTGATACTAGGGATAGACTTGACGGCAATGGCACTACTTGCGCTTGTGGTGAGACCATCACGGTTGAGGTCACGGTTGAAGATCGAGCTGTCTTCGTCGATAGGCTGACGTGCAGTGCTTGCGTGCATGGTAAGGTCTACAATGTAGTCCGCAATGTTGAAACCGGGTGGGCAGGTGTAGCCAAGCTCATCGAAATAGGTTTGGCAGTTCTCGAAGGGTCCAGAATAGACAGCCCTACCCTTGGCAAGCAGTATCAACTGATCAAAGAGGGCGACGATGTTTGAGCGTGGCTGGTGGATAGTGAAGACGACGGTTCGGTTGTAGTTCTTGACCAGGTTAACGAGGCATTCAACGACGTTGAAAGCATTGTACGCGTCTAGTCCGCTCGTAGGTTCGTCAAGAAAGAGGATGCTGGGCGATGTGACGAGTTCACAGGCAATACCGACACGACGCTTCTCTCCACCAGAAATGCCACGGCCACTCTCCTCAGAGCCAATCTTCTGGTTGCGAATGTGGTAGATACCGAGTTGACGTTCGACGTCCTCAACCTTTTGCTCCTTGGAAGTGCGACTCATCTCTTTGGGCAGGCGCAACAGAGCAGAGTCAAGAATCGTCTCGTGAACAGTCAGGGTTGGTAGAAGAGTGTCCTCCTGGTCGACGAAACCAATGACGCTTCTGAATTCGTCATCGCGGACCTTCTCGCCGTTGACGTAGAAGTCGCCACTGTCGGTTCCGATCTTCTTCTTGCGAGCTAAAATGTCGAGGAAGGTAGTCTTTCCAGCACCTGAAGCACCCATGATAGCCAGGAGCTCTCCGGGGTGGACTGCGCCAGAGATGCCGGAGAGAATCTGCTTTCCGTTGAGGTTGTATGCGACGTTCTCAAAGAGGAAAGCAGCTGGCTTGTGGTCTGCTAGCAGTTTCGCATCCTCGTCCTCCTCGTCGTCCGACAGGTGGATGGGACCGTATCGCTTGCTCTCGGCACGGTGCGTGAGATACCAGACAGCCAGAATGGCAGCCACGATGAACAGGGCGCAACCAGCGATGACACCAGCAATCAGAGGCGTGTTGATCTTCTTGATGGGCCTCTCGTAGCCTGGTACCTCGGTCTGGTACAAACACTCGCCCGTGTCGCATTGTAGGAAGATACTCTCGTCGCCGAAGACGCTCGAGATGAGGTCGTTCATGGCAGGCTCGGAGAAGACGCTTCCGCTGTCTTTGCTGTTGATAGCTGAGATGCCTCTGAACTCAGCAGGTCCCTTGATCGACTCCTTCAAGAAGTCACCAATGTCGACGGAGCCGTCCTCTCCGCAAAGCATCCTGTCGGGCACACATTCACACTTTATGTTTTCGCATCGGTATTTGGTGATGTTGCGATCGGATTCGGCGGTGAATTGGGAGGAGCACGTGTCGAGGGCGCAGTAGAAGGATTCCCTGTGGTCGACCCAGACTGCCATGGTTAGCTATGAATGAGAGGGTGGGTGTGAAGCTTACACTGGAAATTGCATTCCTCCGACTCGGCGTTGCAAGAGAAGGTCGCCTGGGGTTTCTTGTCCTTGAGTGTGTCGAGGATCTTCCTGTTGGTGATGTCGCAGATCTGGAAGTTCTCCTTGACCAGTTGGCCGTCCTTGTAGCAGACTCCGCCTTCGCCATCCGGCATCATGGCGTTGCAGGCATTGTTGGTCTGGCAGACATTGCAGTTGATGCCTGACCAGCCCTCTGAACATTCACACTGCTTTGCGCCTCCTCGTGGTGAGCGGTTCTTGCCATCGGGCAGCGCGCCGCAAAGGGGTTCTGAACAGTCCTCGCCTCCGAATCCTGGGCCGCAGTTGCATCGTCCGTTAGCTTTGCTGCAATCAGCAAACTGCTTGCACTTGAAGTCTTCGAGGTTGCAGTTGAAGCACGGGGGACAGCCGTCGGGTCGGTCGCCGTAGATGGAGAAGAGATCCTGCGGCGATTCGGCGACGGAATAGTTTGCGAACGTCTTGTAGGCGCCTCCTGTCGATGCCAGGCCCAGGATGGTGGCGAGCGATGTCGCCCACGTTCGTTGGCGCATCTTGGAGTGTCTGCGGCGCGAGGCAAGCTATGCTAGATAGCTGCGATGACACGACGGGTGTCTCGTTGTATGGCAGCAGTAACGCGATGGCAGAGAGCAGCTGTCAAAGGAACGGCAACAGAGCTAGGCAGCTCGTGATAGTGACGAGGGACACGACGCGGCGATGGTGGCCAGATGAGGGCTGCTATCATCGGCCTTGCCCAACCATGATTCGTGGAGGCTGGGCTGTCTCCAGCCAAGCATCATGGCGGACCGTTAGACCGAGGCACAAGCCAACAGGCACCCGTGGACACCATGGTCTTCGTCATCGATATCTGACTTGCAACATGCAAAAGAGAAATCAGGGGTACGCGCATCACGCCACTAGCAGCCTCATGCTTCATCTCTAGCGACGTGATCAACGTGACCGCGCGACACCTGTAGAGCCGCTGCATTTCTCGGGCATACCTGGCCGCCGGAGCCCTCTAGCTGCTAGCTCGCCCGCTCCAGCGGAGCCATCTCGAGGCCATGTGCGCCCTATGTCAATCCCCAAGTTGACGTCTTAAACTTCCAGGCTGAACAAGTGGCCTTTGTATGTTTTTCTTCTCATTGTAACAACAGACCAACCCTCTTATCCGTCAATATGGTCAAAATCGACGAGTTCGCCGTCGAGTCCGTAGGTTCATCCCCGCATCTCCTCCACGTGGGGAATATATAAACTAACGTCCCCAGTGGATGGACGCATACGAGACAAAGTGCAAGTACAACGTCGCTGAAACATGTTGTGCCTCGATCTCCGTCGATCAGCTACGCGAGCTGTCCGAGGACAAAGACCGACCAGTTTTCGATACCTCGCGGGTCCTCACATACGGTACTATTAGAGGAAGTGACGAGCTACGTAACAACCTCGCCCGACTGTATTCTGCAAAAGTCACAAACCCACTCTCTCCGGACAGCATCCTCATCACTCCTGGTGCCATTCAAGCAAATTATCTGACTGCATACGCTCTCGCTGGCCCTGGAGACCATGTCATCTGCCACTACCCCACCTACCAATCTCTCTACGAGGTCCCTAAGCAACTGGGCGCTGAAGTCGATTTGTGGAAAGCTACACCCGAGAACAAATGGGTACCCAAAATCGACGACCTCAAGTCGCTTATCAAGCCCAACACGAGGCTCATCGTCATCAACAACCCCAACAACCCTACTGGTGCCATCCTAGGCAAGACTTTCCTACAAGAACTCATCGACATTGCTTCTGAAAAGAACATTACCATCATGAGTGACGAGGTCTATCGGCCACTGTTCCATTCCATTAGTCCTTTGGACAAGGAGTTTCCACCGTCTCTCCTATCCATGGGCTACGACAATGTCATCGTCACGGGCTCCATGTCAAAGGCCTATTCACTTGCCGGTATCCGCATAGGATGGATAGCTTCTCGTAGCTCTGAGATCATTGAGAGAATCGCTTCAGCGCGTCATTACACCACCATCTCTGTCTCCTACTTTGATGAATGCATCGCAGCATATGCGCTACACTCGGCAACCGTGCACCAGCTGCTAGCGCGCAACCTGGAACTTGCGAGGAAAAACATGGCCATTCTGGAAAAGTTTCAACTCAAAAACGAAGATGAGTGTGAATGGGTCAAGCCCGTTGCTGGCACTACAGCTTTCGTCAAGTTTCACAGGGAAGGAAAGCCCGTCGACTCGGTCGACTTTTGCAAAAAGCTGCTGGAAGCGACAGGCGTCATGTTCGTACCTGGCAGCACCTGTTTCGGCGAAGAGTTCAAGGGCTACGTCAGGATCGGCTATGTTAACCAGACAGATGTTGTTCAAAATGGACTGGATGCTGTAACAAAGTTCATACGGAAGAACCTTGACGACGTAGAGCTAGCAGCGTAAAGTATGTTTAATTGGACATCTCTACCGCAACTTTCTGGTTGGCTCCACGTAGCTATGTATAACGCCACACCTGGGCGCTTGCGCCACAATACCGGATAAATGCTAGTAAGCTCAGCCCAGTGGACGCCTTGCGCCCGTCATGCTATACGACTTCACAGCCACGCCCGACTCTCGACACAACATGCTTGCGCCTTGATCTACATGTGGTTAACAATGACTGCTCTCAACTACTGACACGCCTTGTATCTTCTCATCTTGCGCACTTTTTACGCTGTCGTGAACATCTTCGTCTACAACTCCATAGTTGCGCATTCATATCTGCACAAATCATCACAGCCATGACTGATCCATACAAAACAACAAATTCCGAGCCTTCTGCTTGGATGAAAAAGCCCACGACTCCTCTTGTAGACGTGGATAGTGTGTCCACTACCACAACATCGTCAACGACCTTCAGGCCTCCATCCCCTTTACCAGAACGTCCGTCCTCTGCAACATCCTGGCGATCAAAACTCCATATTCATGGCTCTTCCTCGCACTCCAGTTCACGGCGATCGAAATCCGCAGAACCGGGCAAAGAGAGATGGCGTGATGCAAATCTTAGTGAGAAGGAGCGCTGGAAAGATTGGCAAAAAGCAAAGGATAAGGAGCAGATGAGAGGGTAAGTTGTCTCTTCTGGCCAACAATGAACTCTGGAATGGCTGTTGACAAATGGTGCAGTTCGACGGTCGGTGCTTTCACGCAATTCTACAAGGGGAGTGGGGGAGTGGCGTACTGGATAGCGTTGTGATTATGGTAGTGTGTAGAGTGCGACAAACGTTACGAAGAGATGTATATGACTGGTACTACATAGTGACGTTTCTATGCTGCGATTTGCAGTCACGAGTATATATAGGATGGCAAGAATGTTTTTTGTCGGTGGAGCTCGCCGTTCCTGAGTTCGAGAGTCTGCATCGTAAGACGCAAACTCTACCCTTAGATTTGAACGAGCTCTAAGTCGTCATTTTGTTGTTCACACACTTCTGGAAACAACTTTTATCCTACCACATAGAACTTACAGAAATGAGATCGACAGTAGTAGTATCCACAATAGGCGGTTTTGCCTATGCTATGTATGCTCAGCCCGCCTACGAAGTCATGCCGTATGCAGCGTTAGCTGTCATTGCAACCGATTCATCCTTGTATGCAAGCACAGACCTGGTACTTACAGGCATGGCTGTGGAACCGGCCGTGACAAATGGACGAAAGGAAGTGACAGTGTAGGTGTGATCGCTCGCGATTTGAGTAGTGGATTGCCCAAGTTCCCTGCATCTCTCACCAAAGCCAAGACGACTGCTTTCAGGATAGATATAAAGCATGTGAGGCTGAAACTGCGTTCGCCAGCTTTGCACGAGAGTGTTTGTTGCACAGGTGTTTTCGGCAATACCATGCCGTTGCTAGGGCTGGGGTCGTATCTTACATAAATTTACAGCTGTCTGCCGTTTAATATACAAGTGGATCGCCTACCTTCAAGGAGTGCAACAGCTCTTATGTGGTCAGTTTATGAACTAACGTGACTTGCAATGCCTGCAAAGTTTGTTACCGGTTGTACGACAAGTGCTTTCACTATCCCGGCGGGCCCTTCGTGGTCGTAAATAGGCAGCAACTTTTCAAAGTGTTTTGTAAGATCACTTCCAGAAGGATGCGCAAGGTTTTCCTACTCTTCGGGAATGATTCGGTCGACCGCTATATCTCGTTAGAATTACCCTGAGAACAATGATGATGAAGTCGTACCTCTGCCGTTCTCCAACAAGTAGCCCGAGCAGTCGATCTTCCACTCGTCTCCCCCCACTTTGACCTTCGCGATACCGAACCTCAATACTGCGAATTTAAACTTCAAGAAGAAGTTTGTCCACTTCTGATGCACCCAGCGCGCAGATCCTTCCCAGACACGGGCCGCAATGTTCATATGTCCCAAGTCGTCCCATAGTCTTTGCTTCCTGAAACGTTCTGCCTCAAGCAACTCCTGCACCATGGGTTCCGTTTTCTCACTTATCGTCACTGCTCCCAGATTCGAGTATATGACGCGTTCTTTCAGCCACGGCACTGGCTTGACAGTCATGCGCAATTGCATGGGCCCGCCCTGCAAACTTGGGAGTATTTCCAACGCTCGCATGCGATTGCTAGGCGCTGTACAGATATAGCAGCCGATGATGACGAAGCTCACTCCTACCACGATATACGTTGGTCGTACGAAGAAGGACAATCCCTTGTCTTTGATGTCGTCATTGAATTTGATGGAATATGCCCCAACTCCTATCCATAATGCCCCCGTTCCGTATACCTTGAGATAGTACCATTTGTTCTTGGGCGCTTGGTATAGTAGGATAGGCTGACGGGTTTGGACTACTTGGCGTAGGACTGGGTCGTTGTTTACAAATCCACTGGCTTTTGGTGTGACAACAGTACTCTTGTAATATTGGTAGCGTCGAAGTACGGACGAGGTGAAGGAGCGATTCTGGCGAAGCGTGGTGGGTGTGAAGAAGGATTCTCGTGTTCCGAAGAGGGCTGCGCGGAGAGATGAGGGGAGGCGGAAGGAATTCTGGCGCATGAAGGCGTCGAAGCCCCGGGAAAAGGCGGGCATGGTGTCTTTATTAGTATGGGATAGTCGATGCAGCGCTATGAGGCGTGCATACTCGGGCAAGTCAATGCGTCGCTATGTGAGCGTGGATGGAGTCGCGATATATCGGGAAAAAGTCCAACCAGAAAGCGGGCCCAAGCGCGTCCCGCCAGACACCTCCGAAGCTTGTTCCGCCCAACATTTCCGCCAGCAGATCAGCCCCGTCGCCAAACAACCCTCCCACTGCCATTGTCTCCGCCGGCCAATTGATTCCACATGGCTTCGCTCGCTGCGGTATGTAGGGTCTCAGCGCGGGCTGCCTCGCAGCAGTTGCGCAGCCATGGCGCCCGGAGAGGTACAAAAGACACGCCAAAACACCGGAGAATGCACAAATATACTGACACGACGGGCAGGACTTCACTCCAGCCAGGCCGCGCTCGCCGCGCAGAACTTCAACATGCCTGCACTTTCACCGACCATGACCGAGGGCAACATCGCGAGCTGGAAGATCAAGGAGGGAGACTCTTTCTCCGCCGGCGACGTGCTCCTCGAGATCGAGACGGACAAGGCGCAGATGGACGTGGAGGCGCAGGATGACGGCATACTAGCAAAGATCACTGTACGTGGGAAAGACGCATTGCTTCAGTTCGTGGCTAATCGAGGCCGTAGGTCCAAGACGGTTCCAAAGCAGTCCAGGTCGGCACACGGATAGCAGTCACTGCAGAGCCTGGCGACGACCTGAGCACCCTCGAGATACCCGCCGAAGAAAGCCCTGCACCCAAGAAGGAGGCTGAAGCGCCCAAAGAGTCCAACAAAGAGCCCGCACCCGTACCAAAGGAGGAGCGAACCTCTGCCCCGCCTGCAAAGTCCGATGCTTCCAAGAAAGCCTCCAGTGGCAAGGCCTCCAAGCAAACATATCCGTTATACCCCTCTGTACAGCAGTTGCTCACACTGAACGGGCTGCCCAAGGAGGAGGCTGACAAGATCCCTGCGACTGGGCCTGGTGGCAGGTTACTCAAGGGAGATGTACTTGCATACATTGGTCAGATCGAGAACGCATACCCCTCAGAGCTCGCGAGCCGCTTCACCAAGCTCTCCCACCTCGATCTTTCCAACATCAAGGTCATGGCAAAGAAGGAGGCGCCTAAGAAGACTGCAGCTGAAGCGCCTGCAGTTGTTGAGGACCTCCCGATTGAGGTGGCATTGCCCGTCTCTCTCACCGCAGTCATGGAGTGCCAGAAGCGCGTCAAGGACTCGATAGGCGTCTTCCTACCGCTATCCACTTTTGTTGCGCGTGCTGCCGAGCTTGCGAACGAAGACCTCCCGCGATCCAAAGTCGCGAAGCCATCTGCCGACGAGCTGTTCAACGCAGTCCTTGGCCTAGACAAGGTAGCCGGAAAGTACTCGCATGGAAACTTCGTCCCACAAGTGACTGCGCTGCCTCCAACTGCTATTCCTAGCAAGCGTGCCTCAGCACCAAAGTCCGACATCCTTGACATGCTGGCTGGCAAGAAGGCTTCCACCAGAAAATCCGTGACCGGCGCAGCAGGCGTTGCTGGACCCCTCAATGTGTTCAGCGTAAGCGTGCCCAAAGGCGACGAGAAGCGCGGCCGCGTCTTCCTTGAGCGCGTCAAGACCGTCCTCGAGGTTGAGCCAGGACGATTGGTCGTATAGAAGACAATCAAGTACCCTTTCAAATACCGCGATCTGTATCATTATGTACCTTGGGCGAGAAGTGCTTAAAAAAGGTAGCCATTCCCACTACACTTTGACCATGAATACTGTTCCATAAGTACCACTATTTAGACGAGCGTTTCATCCATGTCCATCTCTCACAGTACCCCGAGAATCTCCAAGCTCCTTTGATAGGCTTTCACTTGACGTACATAAATCGCGTTCCCCTCGCATCTTCACCACGTAATTTGCAGTTTCCCCAGTAACTCAACTGGAGATTCGCTCACATATTGCATTCAACCATTGTTTTCCATGACGCTGCTCTAATGATTCCTTGCATAAACATGGTGTTCTTGACGATCTCATCTCCTGTAGGCCTGGTGGTAAGTAAAATGCCGCAACCATTACCGTCACGCCAACAAAATGCCGCAGTCTACCTCTGGCTGCTGCGCCTCACAGAAGAAGTGCTCAAGAGCACCAACTTTCCCCATCTGTGTATCTCCAAGCCGTTATCACTGAATTCGAATTTCCATCTCAACCCGACTTCATTCGTTCTACGTGTCGCCCAAATCGGCTAGTGTAATGGATGGGTCCCAGAGCACAGGCGACTGAGGAAACTTCGTCGCTCATGCAGCGGATAGAGGAACGCTACATACTGTCGACTTTAAGCGTGAAAGAGTTGCAATGTGATTCAAGTGTACAAAAGGCAGGGGTTTGATATGATATCATTTTATTGTTAACGCAAGCTACGTTATCATGGTCATTTCTAATCATTCTATATACTAAGGTAACTAACTTTTGTGCTGGGCAGGTGTTCTACTGGTGGAACGCATCTGCAGCCTTGTCTCTTTACAATATCTCAGACTGAACGCCTAAGCCTTCTCCTGCACGCTCTCGTTGCCAGTGGTGGATGAGTCGCGGCTATAGTAACGACCAAAGACACGGTCCTCGATCTCCATGTTCTTGTCAACCTTTCCGGTACCGTGCTTGGCTCCCTTGCGGCGGAAGTAGACGCGCTTGCACCACTTCCAGAACTCAATACCCGCAAAGAAGATGCCGGTCTCGATGAAAACGATACCCCACTCCCAGTCGATAGGCGCATGCTTGAACACGACTGTGTTGAGCGTGGGGATGTAGATGAGCGGGAACAGGAGAACAAAACCAACCATGATGGCCCAGAAGAGGAACTGGTTCCTCCATACATCAAACATCCACTGGGTGAAGTAGCGCTTACTGCCAGGCTGCATGCGGAAGAAAGAGCGACGCATATCAATCATCTCCCAGGCGAGGAAGAGAGCGAACCATGTCAAACAGGCGAATGTGCAAGCGCGGGCGCGGAACACCAACTCACACTGTTCGGAGTATGTCTCGTTACAGCCCGTACCAAGTTCACCATCACCGAAACCAAAGACGACGAGGACGAAACTGGCCAAGCAGAGAAGAGTGATCCAGAGACCATAAACGACCATGTCGACAAGGAACTCCAAGGTGAAGATACCTGTCTTGAGGGATTGAGGTGGGCGTTGCAGAATGTCAGGGACAGCGCGTTCAAAACCGAGACCCATGTCTGGCAATCCTGAAGTAGCCATGATAATCCAGACAACCTGTACAGGAGCGAGAGGAAAGACGGAAAGACCAGTCCTGTCTTTGAAGGCGAGACCAACAAGAAGCGTACCAGCCTGAGCGACGTTCTCAGCCAAGACGTGCAACACGAACTTCTGGATGTTGTCAAAAATACGACGACCTTCTTCAATGGCGGCGAGAATGGACGCGAAGTTGTCGTCTGTGAGGACGATGTCGGAGGCTTCCTTGGCGACGTCTGAACCGGCCTGTCCCATGGCAATACCAACATCGGCACGCTTGAGCGAAGGAGAATCGTTGACACCGTCACCAGTCATGGCGCAGAATCGGTCGCGGCGGTGGAGAGCTTCGATCATGCGGACCTTGGTGCTAGGCGCACAACGGGCCACAACCAATGGCAGAACAGGAAGCTCATCGACTTGGTCATCGGAAAGGTCGTCGAACTCGGAAGCGGTCATAACAAGGTTCTTGGCGACATCCGTAGAGATCTTCTTGTAACGCTCAGCGGACGGCAAGATACCAACCTCGATAGCGATTGCGCGCGCCGTATCTGGTGAGGTACAAAGTCAGTGTATATCTCACAAGGATCATGTACAGTCGAAGCTTACCTGGATGGTCTCCAGTCAACATATGGACCTCAATACCAGCCTCGTGGCATTGGCGGACAGCGACAGCGGATTCGGGGCGGGGAGGGTCGTAAAGACCAATCAGACCACGGAAGACAAGCTCAGATTCTACAGAGGCACGTTCAACCTCGGCGCCCTTCTCGACGTCGGCGGGATACTTCTTGCTAGCCAAAGCCAAGACACGCAGACCAAGACCGGCCAAAGATGCCATGTGGGCAAGGATTTCGTTACGGAACTCCTCAGTGACAGGCTGGGATTGCTCCTTGCCATCGGCGAGGTAGGTGGTACAGCTCTGGATAACGCGCTCTACGGCACCCTTGGTGAAAGCGTAGTTGCCACTTGCGTGTTTCATGATAACGGACATGCGCTTGACGTCGGAATCGAAAGGAAGCTCAACAAGATCCTCCCACGTAGCCGAATCGCCCTTGACGAGATGGCTACGGTTCATACCGAATCGAGATGCGAAAACCTGGATAGCGATTTCGGTAGGATCTCCGTGGGCCTCCCACGCACCTTCGTTGTTTTGTTTGACGGCAGCTAAGTTAGCCAGAGACGCGACTTTAAGGAACTCGCCGAAGCCCTCGATATTGTGGCCCTCAAGCTTGTCGACAGAGAGACGCTCACCGCAAGCATCACCTCCAGCCTTGAGGTCCATCTTGCTAGGAGCTGCGGAGCCAAAGCGGACGTGACCAGCGGTTGGGTCTTGGGGCGAATTGGAATCCTCAATAGTGTATGTTCCAACGCCTGGAACCCAAGCACCGCGGGCAATCATCTTACCCTGGGTGAGTGTTCCTGTCTTGTCGGAGCAAATATCGGTAACACCACCGAGAGCCTCAAGGGACTTGAGGTTACGGACGATAACATTTCGTGTGACCATGGATTTGGTGCCCGCTGCCATAGTAATTGTGAGCACAACGACCAAACTAGCTGGAATCATGGACAAGCCTGTCGCGACAGCGTAAATGATGACTTCCTGGCGAGAACTGAATTCGTTGGCTGCAAGGACAATAATGGCACAAACAACAGCGATGAAGAAGAGCAATACTGCTAGCTTGGAAAGCTTCTTCTGGAGAGGTGTTCCTACGTTGAGACCCAAAAAGCGACCGATAGCGTCGGTAGTGGTAAGTGTGTAAGCCTCGAGGTAACGATGTGGCTTTGCCTTTCCGTTCTCCTTTCGCTTGACTGGTCGAACTTTCGACTTGGTCTCACGGAGTTGAGCAGCGATGGCGCCAATCTCAGTGTAGGCGCCAGTCGCGAAAACGATTCCCTTGGCTCTGCCCTTGGTGACCGAGGACGAACTGTAGGCGACGTTAAGGCGATCACCAGGGCCAGTCTTCTCATCAAAGGTAGCGTCCTCTTGCTTGCGAACAGGAAGGGACTCTCCGGTAAGTAAGGCTTCGTCAGTCTCAAAGTTGACTGCGTCAAAAACCCTAATATCGGCAGGGATGGTGTCTCCAACCTTGACCTCAATGACATCTCCGGGAACGACTTCAGCGGAGGGTACTGTGACCTGCTGGCCACTACGAATGAGACGGGCGGTTGGTGAACTGAGTGATCGTAGAGAATCCATAGTCTTCTCGGCAGACCACTCTTGAAAGAAGCCAACGACAATGTTCAGTCCGATGACGAAGGCGACGACACCGCCTTCAATCCAAGACTTGATACCAAAGCTGACGGCCATAGCCATGATGAGAACTAGAGTCATGGCATTGGCGACTTGAGCAATCAGAATTTTTACTGGCGAGACGCTCTCAGCCTCACCAAGTTCGTTGGAGCCGTACTCATCGACACGGCGCTTGGCTTCGGCGTCGTCCAGACCATGCCATTCTTCAGTCTTCAGCTCGGTCTTGACTTGTTCGAGCGTAAGGCTGTGAGCGGGCAGTGACATAGGTTTGTTACATTGGCCACTGACGTGGCCCTCCAGGGTCGTTGCTTTTTTTCCCATAATCGAGGATTGTTTTTATTATTTGAAAGAGGTGGGTCTTCGGTAGTCGGGTTGTAAATATGGGGTGATTGCGTGTATACGGATATCGGCAGACGAGACTGATCAACGCTCTAGTCTTCTGCGTACTCTCGTCCCGCGGACTATGGCCACGTGGACAAATTTGTTGGATTGGGTGTTGAGTGTAGTATACATAGAGTACTTCAGAACGGGGCGGGGGTGCAGACTCCTCCTAATTCAACGCCGTGATTGGCGAGTTGTAAGGTTTGTATGGGTGGGTTTGGAGATGACGATGTAAGAGTGTTGGCAAAGTTTGGAGCAAACTTGGAGCGAGAACGTGAAGATACCGACGAGAGGTTGGTGGTAGGAAAGAGTAGGAAACGTGGAAAGGTCCTAGATGTCTTCAAGATATATGTTGAGCAGTGGGGAAGTCGGTGTGGGAAGACGGCTCTGCAAAGACATGCCAAGCGTCACGAGAGTTCCCGCCAAGGTATTCAGAGGCCACTGCCAAGTTAGCGAGCAAACTTTTCTCCACCCTTGGCGATGGAGATGGCCATTGAGTGCTCATCACATTACGGGGGTTTGCTGTGAGGTCACGGCTACGCGGCATTCATGGCCTTGGCACCTCAGGATCTTCTTGGTCCTGCCTCTTCAATTGGCCTCATGCAGAACCTGTCGTTTCAATGCCGCGGTGGAGCAGACGATACGCGTTTCGCAGACTCAAGCTTCGCATTAGGAGCGTCAAGCCTTGTCCGACTTGAATGTGAGTGGTCCTCTGGGGGTGCATCGTGCAGGTTGGCGGAGTCGAGACTGAGCGGAGATACCCCGGCGCACGGACGCGGTGGTGAAGAAAAGTGTGGATCGAGATGCCGGAGCCGCGTGTAGATTTACTGCGAACTGGGCGAGATGTCACTATCATGACACTATAGTCCTTGCACGTGGTCTTGGCCGTTGAGAGTTTTGATAGCTTGTAGGCTGGAAGTGGTCAGCACCGGGCCTTCAAGATGACGTCGTCAAAATGCACCAGGGTCCATTGCTTCTTCGTTCCAGCCGAGAGTTTCCCAACGGCTTAGCAGTTGCTTGCTGACCTCCCAGCCTTTCAACACCCTCTCAAACCTAGCATGTCGTCTTCGAATTCTGACGCCGCGCCGTTTCTGCAGTATCACGAGCCCGAAAGTAAGCGCGTCGCCTTGTCCACCTTCCTCCCTGGAATGTCGATCTCAACTAACGCAAGCTTAAGTCGTCGATATCCTTATCCTGGTATCTTTCTTCACCTTCTTATGGCTTGCCGAGTACGTTTCGGCCAAGACTATCCGTGCCGGCATCATTGGGCCGATTGCAGTAGGCATCATATACGGCGAGCCGTTGGCAAACATTCTCCAACATGATTGGGCTGGTACGTGTCCCTGCTGCAGAAGATGGCTCATTTGCGACATTTACTGAATCTGTACCCCGGCATTTAGAAACGTTCCTATATCTTGGCTACATTGGCTTGATCTTGATTATCTTTGAGGGTGGTTTGAGCACTCGCTTGGATCTGCTCAAGGCCAACTTCACATTGTCGATCTGTGGAGCTGCCACCGGCGTTCTGTGTCCAATCGGTTTCAGCTATCTCCTGCTGTATCTTGGGTTCGGCTACGGCGCTGTCGAGACATTCATCATCGGCGCTGCTCTGAGTGCCACGAGCCTGGGCACTACTTTTGCTGTCATCTCAAGCGCTTCCAAGGACGTCGATCTCAGTCAAACCAAAGTCGGCGCTGTACTCGTCAGCGCTGCAGTCATCGACGATGTCACAGGTCTCGTCATGTCCAGTGTTATCCATGACTTGGGTAGTATCGCTTCTGGAGGCAACGTCAACTTGGGATGGTTGATTGGCCGACCTATCGTCGCATCTGCGGCTATGGCGATACTCACCCCAGTCCTCACCAAATGGTTTTTCGCTCCTGTCTTCCGGACATACATCGAGAAGCACTTTCACAAGTTTGACCACTTGTCCAACATCATACTGATGATTCTGGTTTTGTCAGCCTTCATCTCGATTGCTGCCTACGCAGGGACTTCCATTCTGTTCGGAGCTTTCCTCGCCGGTGCATTCTTGACGTATCTTCCTTCAACGCATCCGGAAGGTCCGTTCGTGGTCATGAGTAGGGAGGAAGGCGAGCGTTCCAAAGATAAATCTCCGACGTTCGTGCATACTTTCGAAGTCTACTGTTTGGACGCACAGCAATACGTTTTAGCGCCCCTCTTCTTCGCTAGCATAGGATTCGCAATTCCCTTCCTGGACCTCTGGACTGGAGAAGCCATCTGGAGAGGCGTCGTATATACCTTACTCATGCTGTTTGGCAAGGCGATTGTGGGTGCATGGATACCCATTTGGGCTGCCGCAAAGCATGACCCCAAGAAAGCGCACGAAGCACAACCAGAGTCCGCGGCCGAGAACGGAAATTCGCTCGAAAAAGTCAAATCGTCTCCTGATTCACCGTCCCGCAAAGCTGCGATACAATCCTCCGTCTCACCCATGATTTTGCTTGGCATGGCCATGGTCGCACGTGGAGAGATTGGTCTGCTAATTGTAGAAATTGGCTACAACAACACACCTTACGTTTCTCAGCAGGGCTTCATAACAGCCATTTGGGCTATCTTGTTGAACACAATCATTGGACCTGTATGCGTCGGAATAGCCGTCAAGTACAAGGGTGCTAAGATTGGCAAAGGCCCATGGGGCTTGGTACCAGGACCCAACCAGGCTATTGAAGAAGAGATGGGTAGAAGAAGAGAGTCGCGTATGCAACAGCAGATGCAGGAAGAGGGCGAGGCGAGGATGGAAGCGCACCGAAATAGTCAGATGGCATGATTGACGATAGGCACGAAAGGTGAGAATTTGCATGACCCACCAAAAGTATAATTCCTACCACATTTGTATAGATAGCATTGTACAGTAATTTAATGGAATACAATATTGACACAGCATGTATATCTCCGTCCGCTTCCTAAGCCACCTCAAACCACCTTCGAAATCCATCAACTCTTCACCCTCCTGATGTACGCTAAATATACCAATCCGATGTCCTCCACCGTCTTCTCTTCACCAGCAATCTCTTGGTTCCTCGTAAATTGTTCTTCCTCCAGTTTCGCTCATCTCCTATACAACCACATAAACCCCGCAACCATTGTCACAAGACCCACACAGCGAACGGGCATCGACAGCCCGGTGCCCTCAATATCGATTCCTTTGGAAAAGTATATAGGTAGGTAAGAAGCCAATATAAAAAAGACTGCGCCCAGCAACTCCGATGCATAAGAGATATACGTTGGATGCCTAACATGTGCGAATGGAGCCGTGCTAACAACGTACTTTGGTGTCACACGGTCAAAGATTACGGAGAAGGTGCGGGAAAGTGTTGTCAGTGCAGCCCATGTTAACAACAGTGAGCTGCTGGGGAAGAAGGCAATGACAACCGTAGTGCCAATGGCCGTGGAAGTTGGAGGCGAGACGATCAGCGTCCAGGAAAGGGATCCAGCTACGACCGAGAAGAATTTGAGTACTTGGATAGAAGTTTGGATAGACGAGGCCGGATGGTGGGTGCGGGAAGTGAATTCTCAGTGCATACAGTTGAGTAGCAAGGAAGGCGAGATAGAGAGGTGGAAGGAGGACTGGCATTGTTATGTTCTTTGAAGTAAGATTAGATGAGTAGTCATTAGAAGAGTGCAAAAGCGAATTTATACCATGCTTCTTTTCTCACGATTGTGGAGTTCTCTTTTTTGAAATGTGTAACTCTGAAATCGTATTTATGTCATGAAATATCTCCAGAACATGGATTCATATCGTACACTATTTGCCACAATCTGCCATTTACAGTAATCCATGCTTCCTGCTTTCATAGCTGCATTTCTGCGCTAGGTGTTGTGGTATCCGTTCGAAAGGACTAAATTAGGAGGGGAGACGTCGTCATGTTGGAATGATAAGTGTCCCTCGTGTCCATAGGCAAAGAAGTCACGCGAATTTGTGACGCTCTCTGGAGATGCTAAGAGCAAGAGGCGTACGAGCAGATGATAAAACAAAACATAATGATTGATTTTACAGACGGTATTCACCTATGGGTATCCTCGTACTTCCTTCACAATTTGATTTACAGGAATATGCTTTCGAAACACATCAAAAATCGACCTGGACTCATGCCATATCGAAGCTGATTAGAAGCTCGGAGCGTTGAGCGCCATGACGCAAAGAAGACCGGAAATAAGACCAGCAACGGGTAGGGTCATGACCTAGAATTGTTAGAGATGAGAAGTCAAAGTAATGTGAAGGAAACTTACCCATCCTGAGAAAATGAAAGCCAGTTGGCGCCAGTTGACGGCACCAAGGTCGTAGTTCATCAAGGCGACCCCGACCGCTGAACCGGTCAAGCACTGAGTTGTTGATACTGGAAGCCCGAGTCTAGAAGCAAGCAAAACGGTGATAGCAGCGCCCAGTTCGACCGAGAAACCACGTGTTGGCGACATTTGAGTGATCTTGTTACCAAGCGCACGGACAATGTGGTATCCGTAGAACCAGAAACCAAGACCGAGCAAGAGACCAGCGACAACCAGGAACCACACGGGGGTAGGGGAGCGTGTCGCAACCTCTCCAGCTAGGTATGTCTGGTAAACAGCGGCCCATGGACCGACAGCGTTGGCCACGTCATTAGAGCCGTGAGCGATGGACATCATTATAGCGGAGACAACTTGGCAGTACGTCCATAGATGCTCGACGCGAACATCGTAACGAATGGCCTTGGAGTGAATAGCGCGCAAAAGGTCATTGTCGTGCGTAATGACGTCGCACGTGACACCTCGGAGGAAGATGAACTTGGTGTATGACCACCACCTCTGAGGGTTAACCCATGAGAGATGCTTGACGGGAACAATCCAACGTTCGTAAGGCTCTGGCTTCTTGAGTTTTCGGACAGGCGCACCAACACTCTCCTCTAGCTTTGTCTTCTCTGGGTCGCTAGGGAGAACGCCACTGTTGTTCACTGAGCCGGATGGGGATCCAGCATCAACTTTCTTGATCTCATCGTCGTTAGTCGAATTCGTCACAGCCTGCTTCGCGTTCGTTCCAGCATGGACTTCGCCGTAGGCATCCTCGTAGTAATCGGTGACGTATTCGTTGCCCTTGCCTGGCCAGAAAAGAGTGGTAGTCTCCTTGAGGAGCAGGGGACCCAAGATGACGTGCCAGATTCGGACACGAGGATCCTTCATGATAAGCTTGCGTTTAAAGAATGGAATGAAGAAGATATAGCAGATGGCCAAGCATCCAAAGAATACTCCTAGGATGATTCCAGCAGCCTTGCCAGCCCCAAACTCTTCCAGGGATGGTGCTGTAGGTGCTTCAACAACAATGAACAGGGCTAGGATGGCTCCCGTCATGGCGAAGTAGAAGGGAATAAGGCGCATGGCGTGCTTGAAAGGATCTTTGCGCTCAAGAACTGAGTACTTGACGGTGCCGAAGATAATAGCAGAAAATGCACCAGCAATCAGAGGTGCGATACCCCAAGAAGCAGCGACTTGCGATACAGAGCCGGACTCCCACGCCCATTTGACAGGAGACTGGCTAGCAAATCCGACTCCAATAAGAGCGCCAACGACTGTTTGAGTAGTCGATACGGGCATTCCCAGATGCGTGGCAAGCATCAACCAGAAGGCGCTACCAACCTCTGTCCATGTTTAGCTCAAGCTCCTGATACAGAGTGAAAATACTCACCAGCACAGCCCATGGCCAACATGAGCGCGCCCGGGTTGCCTGTAAAACGGTCGATGGAGATGATGCCGTTCTTGATGGTTGAGGTCACCCGAGCTCCAAGCGCAACAGCACCGATGAATTCTGTTATTACGGCAAGCGGGCCAACCTGTACCATGGTCAAGGTACGAGCGGCGACTGAGGTAGCATAGGCGTTGGCGACATCGTTGGCACCGTTTCCGAAGGCGGAGAAGACGAAGGCAATGGTGGTAATTGCAAGAATCCAATCATACTTGGCTGTGACTGGATGCGCCATCTTGATTGTGCAGGCGTAGAGCTGTGTTTGGCAGAATCCTGGTTGCTGGGAACATGGTTAATCTTATATAACCCGAGTAGGTATGTAGCACATGGCAGTGCAGGGCGTCGGCTTGACACCGGGCTTAGGATGGCAAGACGTGCCCAGAAGACAAGATACTGGAAGATGGGCGCCGAGGATCTGGTGACGGGTCGGAGCGCAGATATATTGCTTTCAGCCATTGGAGTGCGGATTCGATACCATGCTGCTGCTCGTGGTGAGGATCCGCCAAGTGCATGAGACTTGCCCAGAAATTCCGCTGTCTTGTCTCCGCCTTGGAGGACCACAGGGTGCAGGAATTTTCTACCAATAGACTTGTATACATCAGACACGCATTGAAGCAGTTGGCTCTCAAGGCCGCGCGTGCTCCGAAGTGTCTGTAACTGGCCGTGTATTGGGATCGCAGTTGTGGGGTCAATCAGAGCAGCTATTAAGAGAGGCCATATTCTAGCACTGTGGAATTCGTCATAGGAAGGTAGTGCCTAGAGTGTAGGAAACCGCGACATCACATCATCAGCACAAGGCGAGATTGCTGTATATGCTGGTGGATGTTGGATGTGATTGCGAAGTTGAAGCCTTCACGTGGGCTTGGAGGGAAGGTGCAGGTGGAGTCGATGCAACGACGTTGGCCGTGTCGTCATAGCTGACGCAGGCCCGCTCATGCTATAGGGCTCCTTGGTCGTGTGCTTCCACTGCAGTGTCTTGGAAAGTGTGTTAAAGGCCACCGAGATAGATTTACCTGCGCTGAGGATGCGCGCGCTATAACGGTCGCCTTTCTCTCATATTTTGACTATTCTTGGCCATGGTTCCCGAGGTGCCTCTGTACATGGAACTAGTGATCCGAGTGCCGGGTCGAAGCGGGTATGTTGGCTGCTTGTGAGAGCGATGTCGCAGAGCCGAACAAGGTGACTTGGTACTGATTGAAATGCTTCAGTCTCTGATGGACGGATTTCTGACAGCCGCCGGTGCTCGACGACGCATAAGAAGCAGTGCAAAGGGTCGCGTGTGCCTGGGCAATGGGCGACGCTAAAAGCTTGACAGCGCGCACCAATCCGGGGTAGATGGCCTTCTCAGCGATACCAAACTCGCCCTTGCGCTAGATTGATTACTTATCCCTGAAGAGCAGTATGTGGCTCGATGGGTGCATGAGGCTCTCGATTAGAGTGTTCTCTTAATAGAATCTGACAGGGGCTACAAGCGATGAGGCGATGAGGCGATGTCGGGAAACAGGTAATGCGGGAGCGAGGCGGAAGCAGGCGGCAAATGCCTTTGTGTGAAGACGGACAAGACACAGGGTGAAAGGCAGCACTACACTAGGTACTGAGAATTCAGAACATTCCCCTGGACATCTGCAGTAAGTAGCTCAGCTCAGGGCGTTGTTCGCAGCCGCGCCTTCCCCACGTTTCCTCCGACCCCCGCCAATGGCTCGCAATTAAAAATTAGCTTACCTCCGAGCTCGCTGCCACCCGCGAGCTGTTGTCGACGGCGAGTTGGCCGACTCACCCTGTACTGTGTCCCTCTCTACCTTCCCTCAACTGACCCAACGACCTCGCTCAGGCCAATTGCACCCTCAACTGCCCGGGCTGCTGTCATCCCCTCACTATGGCGACCGTCACGGAAGAAGTGCGCGAGGTGCTGCTGGGCACCACCGACGAGCCCCAGCTGTCGCAGCTCACGCGCGCCGCCTTTATGAAACACGCCCAAAAGGACGAGTCAGGCGAATACTATCTCGACCAAGACCAATTCATCACAGCGGTCGCGCCCGAGGGCGAGGACTACG